GTGAGTCCTCTCGGGGGGAGCCGGAGAGATCCCTCACGGGGCCCAGCGCCCCGGCCCGGGGGTTGTCCCTGGGCTGTCCGCCGGGCAGCGGGACACCGGGCTGGCAGGGGCTGGGGACTGTGGGGCAGCCGGGCTTGGAAATGCCAGAACAGGGGGCTGGGGGGTCGCCGTGCCCCTTCCGAGGGCAGCACGGGCGAAGCACAGCCCGCAGCCCCTGGGATGGGGTCGCTGTGCCCGCCTGGGTGAAGCTTTGGGGGGCTCCTGCCCACCCGCTGCTGGCTGCTTCAGGCTTTGCGGGCAGTCCGGCTCCAACACCCCCAGGTCTGCGTTTCTGGCTGCGCCTCTCCTGCCCGCCCCCTCCCCAGGCACACGGGGAATGAAAGGAGCCAAGAAGGGTTTTCCAGGGGTATCCAGTGTTGTTCAGTGGGGTTTTGGATCTCGGCACATGCCCCAGAACAGGCTTTGTATTGATTTCCCATGACAGCACAGCCAGGGGAGACTGTAGACTGCGACGCACAGCTCCAGTCTCCATCACTGGACCAAGTGTTGCGGGTCAGGTCCTGTAAACTCAGCACGTGGCTCGTCCTTGCATCAGCGAGGAATCCCACGCGTTAAGGTGGGGCCTCTCCTGTGTTATCCTTCCTTGCTCTCCTAAGAGAGGACTTGGCTGCAGCTCTGCAACACCCATCAGTCTCTGCCCACCTTCCAGTGCCGAGCACGGCCCTCATTCACCTCCTGCTCGAGGCTGCTGCTGCAGGACACGTGTTTGACTCCTCGGGCAGACTGTACAAGCTGCCTTTGTTCCTAAAGGGCTGTTGGTGGACACGTGCCCAGCTCCCAGAGAACAGATGTCCCACGTGCAAACAACGGTACCGCCGTACCTGGCCCCCTTTGTTTTCAGAGAGACAAAAGAGAAAATGGGTCTTGGAGCCTGGCAGGTGGGGAAGAGCTGGTGGTACCTGAGGGAACCTGCACGGGGAATAGTATTAAAAGGAGAATATTAATCTCTTCCATTGCAGTCTGTGGAGGGTAGCAAGGGGAAAGCATAGTCATGGACTAACATCGCTGGGTAGGTTCACAGCACATTGACCCGTTTTCCTGACGCCCAGTTCTGCAGGAGGTACGGCCCTGGATCCGTGTGCCGCCCTGGGGCACAGAGGTTATCCTGGTGCTACTTTCCATTTCAGCTAAAACTACTGAGGGAGGAAGCAAACAGCCAAGACCAGCTGAACGGAGATTAGCCCTTTGATTTGCTGCAGATGACTTGCTCTGCTTATCACAGCTGATCACAGCTGTGGGATTTTTTTTTTCCCATGCTTTTTGCAGAGGTTGGCTCATAAAGGCATGAAGCTGGTCTTGCTTCAGCTCTGTGTGTGGTAGCGGCTTCCTGGCCAGGGACCCAGGCACAGTGAAAATGTGATCTGTGGAGAAGAGGGAGTGCTTCAAAGTCAGACGCAGCAGGTTCAGGGCTGTGAAAAACACCTGCCAAAGCCTTGTCCGCTCCCATGTTCTGTAGTTTCCTTAACTACAATGCCAAAAATAAGCCACAAGAGGAAGCCGTGGTTCATACGGGCTCTGAAAGATCTCAGTTTACCGGGGGCATAAGTAGCATTTTTACCACTTGGTAAGCTGGGGCGAAGGGCACAAAGAGTTGAATTAATGGTTCTTGAACTTGCAGGGACGCTCTGGGAGAGATAGGGCTGGAGCCTGCATTCCTTGAGTCCTAGACCAGGATTAAGCTGTGGTCCTGGTGGGGAAGTGAGCAGCCGGCCGGGCTCAGGCTGGGTGAATAAGCAATGGTGAAGTCGTTGGCTTACTCTGGCAACTGCCCTGCGCCTCTTTTGTCGCTGTGCTGATTTCAGGTGATCAGGGAACAGGGTTGGTGCAGCCCTGTGGCTAGGAGCAGCGTCGCTGCTTCCCTAGC